AGACCCGTGATTAATAAACCCCGTCCTTTTCAGGGCCTCAGTTATTAAGATCCCTATGATAATTCCTATAAAGGGGTAGGGGATTCCTATTACTCTTACTCCTACGAATGACTATTACTATTGCTATTACTATTACTGGTATTATTGCTACTATAGGGGCTTTATGAATCACGGGTCTACATTAGGGTTGGCAATTCCTTTGGACAGGAAGGCTTGCCCTTGTTCGTATGGTGTTTTACTAAAGTAGGGCGTCCCAAATATAGACTCCGAAATGGGGGTTTCCTAAAATTAGGGGTACCATTTTGGGAAACCCCACATCAGGCTTTACAGCATCGTTCCACTCCTACACTTGAAATCGACCAGAAAGCTTAGGAAACGGTTCCGGTGTTGAGACGGCCCCCATTTGGACCACCTTACTGGTTCTTAGTAGGGAATATGTTTTGTGGGGCTTCTATTCCCTTATTCCCTATTACTGTACTAAGAATCAGTAAGCCAGTTCTTTGTAGGGAATATGTTGCATGGGGACCCTCAACCCTAAACCCCAAACCCTAAACCCCACACCCTCAACCCTATGTATTCCTCTGTTCCCTAGTAAGAACCAGTAAGAAGCTAAGGAGCTCGATGAGGATACTCAGACGGCAGAGGCTAGTGAGGAGGCTGGGCCTCAGTAGGCAGTGGGGGCAAGAGATTTGCTTCCAGAAGCTTACGGGTTCTTAGCAAGGAATATGGGAATACATTATAATATAAGGGTCATATTCCTTTATTCCCTACTAAGAACCAGGAAGTTGCTGTTATTGCATGTTTCAGTCACCATATTTATTGCTGCTATTGTTATTCAGCTGTTATTATTGTTCCTGTGATTTGTAGTGTTGGTTCTTGTTTTGGCTGTCCCTAACCCTAAACCCTAAGCCCAAGGGACCCATTTAAAAGTCCCAATAGCCCCACAACTTTCCCAAGCCCTAGAGTCCCCCTTCAGCAGATAGAACATGGCTTTGGGTGTATTATAATAGGATCCCGATATACCCCATATTCTATCTACTTAAGGGGTATAAGCCCTAAGCTGCATCACTCAGGAGGCAGATGAGGCGGCCCCACTTGAGGGCTCCGAAGAGCAGGCCATTGCAGTGCGAGCGCTTAAGTACATATAGTCCCACATCAGTAGACTATGGAAGTCCCCATAGCCATGATAAGATTCCCACTTGTCCCACATTCTATTTACTTAAGGAGGGCTATGATAGTTTGTCAGGGTCAGCTTGACGTGAGCAAGAAGGCATAATTGCTAACTGCCTACATGCGCATGTAAGTATGATGGGATGCTGTGGCTGCATCGATAGCCTGGGTACCTCTTCCAGGAGGCAACAGAAGTTGAAGCGGACGAGGACGAAGCGGAGGAGGAGGAGGAATGGCAGATCCTACAGCATCTTGTCATCCTAGAAAATGGGGTAAATATGGGGATCTTATGACAATATACCCGAAGCCATATTCTATCCACTTAAAGGGGACTCTAATCCCCTCTTCCAAATATTAAAGCTCCAGCCCACTAATATCCGCTGTGATTAAGTATTCCTATTGCAGTATGATATATAGTATGGAAATGTTTAGTATTTCCTAGAGTTGGGGGTTGCTAACATTAGGAGAGGGGATTCGCTTTGGTGGAGCACAGAGGTGTCCATGGTTTCAAGTTAGCCTTCTCACGATGTTGCAAATAAGGTCCGCTCCCGAAGAATTGGAGGAGGTTTGGGAGGAGCGGATTAACAGACCTGCATGTTTGCCTGGATCTGAAAGTGTCAGCGCTGGTCTCCACGATGCTTTCCTCGGCGACTTAGGTGAACCACTGCAATGAGGGACATGCTCAATAAACAAGACTGCGCAAGTAAATGCGGATCGCCACAGATCTCCAGTTCATTCTTAGATGTTTTAAGCATGGAGATGAAAGACCCCGTGAATGTGCCGCGCTCCGTACGTGGCAGGATGAGATGGAGCATGATGCATGCCTGCATGCAGACGACCATCTTCCCCTCCCATCCATGGAAGCGCCAAAGCGCCTTGCCAGTCAGCGACAATCGATTATCTCATGGGTGATCATGGGTGCAACTCCATGATGTAACCATGCAAGCTTGGGAGTTTTCTCAAGGGTCAGAATTCAATGGCAACGAAGCTTGTAGCGTTTCGTCTACAGCCACGCACACCGGAGCAGGATGATGTCTCTTCCGGTGGGAGGCAAGGTGAGGCATTGTGGGGATTCCGGTGTGTCGGACATCTCTTCAACCTTTAGGCCAAAACAAAAGGCTTCAAACGGTTAACGCGCCCGACGTATCTGTAGGGGGGCTTCTTCAAAATCTTGGGAGCTCAGTTGGGCAGTTAATCAGAGTATTTGGGATCCAAATCTTGAACCGTATCCACATTTCACTGTGCAAAGGATTTTGCCCCCCAAGCAGTACTTCATTTGATAAAGCACAACGTAGTTTCAAAATGATGATTAAGTGATTGAGTCGTTCCCTTGGAGAACTTGCAGCCAAGGCAGCAGCCGTCAGTCGGCCTCCAATCTTGGGTGCCTGGCAACGGCAACGCTGTAGGGGTGTAGGCTTTTTGAACCTATAGTCGAAACCCCTTAAAGGGGGTTATATTATAGGGTTTAGGATTTAGGGTCTAAACTAGTTAAGGGGGCGGCTATACAAGGGATTGTATAGGGGACTACTATAGGGGTTATTAAGGGGGATACTAGGAGTTTAGACTGTGGCTCTTATGGTTTGGGATTCATGGTAACCAGCACTATTTTGCAAGAAGTTCTGTTGAAGAATAGTTATCGCGAGAATAGTAGTAAACATAAAAAGTAATAGTAGGAAGTTATGTTAAATCAAGGCTAGAATCACGACCAAGGCTGTCAGTGGGCCTGGGGTTAGTTGCAGAGTTCTAGAGTGAACATGTGACCCCGTGAATAAGTGCAAGACTGACTTGGGCAGCGGATTGTTTACAGTAAATCAGTTATAAGTGCGCAACACAGAAACTCATGAAATCTTGGTCTGAAAATGAGGTTTTCCTTTGTGCGCGGAAGGACGCGGAAACTCCGCGGAAGCATTTCTTCGCGGAAGGGCTTGCGGAAGCTCATGTTTTCAGAAACTCCGGCTATGCGTAGTCTTCGAAGC